TGAAAGAGGAGAGGCAATCAATATATTAGTAATTGGCCCAGCTATGGTTGGTAAATCAACACTCATCAATGCTATGTTTGGGAAGGATCTAGCAAAGGTTGAAGATAGAGCAAGACCAGTTATATCAGGAGTAGAAGAATATCAGGGAGAGTACAAAGGTGTTACGATAAAAGTTTTTATTACAGTTGGGTTTAGAGATACTGGGAAAAAAGGAGATTATAGTATTTTGTTGGATATCAATAAGCATATTCAGTTCAATCTAATCTTCATTTGCTCAAAGTTAGGAGGTAGAGCTCACCGAAGAATGTTCTTAGAACTGGCCTCCGTCTTAAATAAAGAAATGTGGAAGAGGACAGTTGTAGCTTTGACATTTGCAAACCAATTTGAGACCCTGGAGAGTGTTGTTGATAAAAATGAAATAATAAGACAAAGGGATGAACATAAAGAGTGTGTTGTTGAATTTCTTTCTAAAAGCATTAAAAAGGAAGTATTGCAGGGGATACCATTCTGTTTAGCTGGGATAGAAGAAGAAAAAGAATTGCCTATGACTGAAGACTGGTTGAAGACACTCTGGATCACGTGTATTGATCGCTGCAGTCATGACTCGCATCATTTATTATCATTTTATGCAAGAAACTACATGTATTGCCTTATGGTAGCTATTGGTATAGGAGGTTTGGCTGGTGTTGTTACTGGTAGTCTAGCTATCCCTTTTGCTGGTGGTTTAATAGGAACAGGTGCTGGCGGAGTTCTTGGTGCTGCTGCTGGGTTTGCTGCGAAAAAGGTTTTAGAAAAAAACTAGTTTTATTTGTAACCTATAACAAGAAGTACATAATACTTTCCTAACAAATGATATTATTCAGTTAGTCTTGATTGTACATGTGCATTTCCATTGTTATTAATATTATAAATAATAATACATGAACACATACTTATTTTAATCTCTCTTACAATGAGTTGATTGATTAACTTTTTATTGGTAGTGTATTTATTGATCAATCGGATGCTCTTGCAGCAATCACTGTCCTTCCCAGTAACTGTTTGATCAGGTGTATTGAAATTATAGTAACACTATAATAATTGTAAGGAGGAGTGGAGATAATGGAGCCCCCCATTTCTCCTCCTACTCCCACATTATGGCCACATCTCTACTCCCACAGTTATTATAGTGATACTATCATTTGTACACCTGTCAGTGGTTAGTTAGTTACTGACTATTGGAGTCACAGGGCATACTACTGGTGATAATGGCTACTCCTTCTGGAAACAATACTGTTCAGTCTGAAGAGGATGAATCTTTTGAGCATCTTGATGTGCACAAAGAGTATCTCACACCAGAAGAAATGGAAGAAAAGATTAAAGCATTGGGTGATAGTGGAAGGCCTGTTAATATATTAGTGGTTGGCCCAGTTGGTGCTGGTAAGTCAACGCTTGTCAATGCTATGTTTGGGAAGGATGTAGCTGAAGTTGGACTCAGTGCAAGAGCCATTACAACAGAAGTTCATTCTTATGAGGGAGAGTATAATGGTGTGAAGATTAAAGTGTATGATACAGTTGGGTTTAGAGATGCCAGAGTCAAAAGTAATACAAATATTTTGTTGGATATTGCTAAGCATGGTCAGTTTGATCTTATCCTCATTTGCTTAAAGTTAGGAGGTAGAGCTGACCGAAGAATGTTCTTAGAACTGGCCTCTGTCTTACATAGTGAAATGTGGAAGAGGACAGTTGTTGTATTGACATTTGCAAACCAGTTCGAGACACTCGAGAGTGAAAAAGAATCTAAAGACGTGGAAAGTGGAATAAAAGTGCAGATAAATGGGCACAAAGCATGTGTTGCTGAATTTCTTTCTAAAAGCGTTAATAAAGAAGTAGTTGAGGATATACCATTCTGTTTAGCTGGGTTACAAGATGAAAAGAAGCTACCTACTGTAGACAACTGGCTGATTACACTGTGGAACACATCCATTTATCGGTCAAGTGATGAGGCACGTCCATTGTTATCATTTTATTATGAAACATATCGAGCTTTTATTGAAATAGCTGGTTCTACCGGTGGTAAAGCTATTATAATAGGTGCTAGTATTGGAGCATTAGCTGGTTCTGTATTACCTGTTACAGGTTCTGTAATAGGAGCTGGAATTGGAGCTGGAATTGGAGCTGGAGTAGGAGCTGGTATAGGATGGCTCTATTCAAAATAATCAAAACTGATTTTATTGGTTTAAAATTAAGTGTAATTATTTTATTAGTTTTAACAATCATATTGTTGTTATTGTTAGCCCTGATTGTGTATTACCATTATTATTATTAGTAATATAATTATTAATAAACCCATCACTATTGTAACAGTATCATTAATATAATAATTAATGATATCTCCACACTTCTTATAAAACACCATTCGTGCATTGGCCTTGCAAAAGCAAAAACACAAAATTATTGTTTGTTTACTTGTTACCTTTTAATTAAGGTAATCAGAATGAATGAAATCTTGTAAGTGGTTGTGGCTAAACACACCTACACAAAATACAAATTAATTAAAGTACATGTACATGTAGTGTCCTTATGCTGTGTAGAAAGTTTAAACTGATTCCAACTAAAAGTTTTCAAGGTGCAGCCATTTAGCAAATTTTTGGAAAAAGCATGGGAGGTTTTTCTAAAAATAACTCCAAAATAACTCCAAATTTTCATTACTTTCAAAATATTGATGTACTTATGTTCATTCTTATAGGGGCCAGGACTGGTATAAACTAATACTAAACTATTTACAAAAATACATATACAGTATACATAATACATGTTACATGTATATATGAGTGTCTGAGTTAAAAATAGATAGAAAAATAATAGAACATAATAGTATACAGTATTTGTGTACATGTAGTTTAGTAAACCCTCCCATCTGAGAGAGCTTGCTCATGAGATCGGAAGGAGTGACAGGGATGATGGTAGGATGAGCAAGCACCTAAAGAAGTTAAATGGTACTGATCCTGATGATAAGTTCCAGTGCATTAGGTAACTTAGCCACTTTTCCACCAGAACCATCTCAGGTACATTGTATTTAACCACCCACTAATGTAGTATAACTAATTGTAATACACTATTACTAAGATGTAGATAAATGTAAAACATTAAGCAATCAAAGCAATGTACATGTACATGTACACTGTACTTGTGTATGCTGTAGATCTTGATGTTATTAATGATGCATGATTGTACAGAGCATCTAAAATTGTGCCAAAGTCTCTGAACTATAATAGTGTGGGTCAAGGGCCAAATTTCACCAAAATTAAAAAGGAGAAAATACTCCATTTATATAATTTTTCTGATACATCTACATGTTCTCATGTAGCATAGAAAGTTTTAACCGCTTCTGATCAAAATTGAATTTTTACAAATTTTTTAACTTGCCCAAAATTGGACCAAAGTCAGGGTCACGAGCCAAATTTTGCCAAAAATAAAGAGAAAAGAATTTTCCATTTTTATAATTTTTCCTGATACATATACATGTTCTCATGTAGCGTAGAAAGTTTGAACTAATGTTGATTAAAATTGAATTTTTTACGAATTTTTTAATTTGCTCAAAAGTTGGACCAAAGTCCCTGTACTACAACAGGGTCACGAACCATATTTTGCCAAAAATGAAGGGAGAAGAATTTTCCATTTTTATAATTTTTTCTGATACATATACATGTTCTTATGTAGCGTAGAAAGTTTGAACTAATTTTGATTAAAATTAAATTTTTTTATGAATTTTTTTATTTGCTCAAAAATTGGACCAAAGTCACTGTACTGTAGTACAGGGTCACAAGCCATATGTTGCCAAAAATGAAGGAAAAATAATTTTTCATTTTTATAATTTTTTTTGATACATATACATGTTCTCATGTAGTGTAGAAAGTTTGAGCTAATTTTGATTAAAATTGGTTTTTTACAAATTTTTTAATTTGCTCAAAAATTGGACCAAAGTCACTGTACTGTAGTACAGGGTCACGAGCCATATTTTGCCAAAAATGAAGAGAAAAGAATTTTCCTTTTATAATTTTTCCTGATACATATACTATATTTGCTCGATGAAACGCCTGGGCGTTCAAATCTTAACAGGAAAAATTCAAATAGAAAAAAAAAACCAAAAAGCCCATAGTGGATTTGAACACTCAACCTTCTAGTGTTCCAAACTGTACTCCAACAGTTAGGCTATCTGGGACAGTCTACATCCTTGGGCACATATATGAGATAAAATATGCATATCTATACTAGTTAGAAAATATTTGTCATGGGCGTTTATTCAAGCAAATACGATATATGTTTTTATGTTATGTAGAAGTTTGACCTAGCTGATTCCAATAAAAATTGGATTTTTTACAATTAAAAAAAATAAAAAAATTACTATTATTTATGTGATCATCATTTCTCCATTAGCTGGTTGCAAGTACGTCGAATATGGTATTGACATGTGGTCAGTCATTACGACACTATACGAGCAATACACTGGTCAAATATTGTTCCCTGCCAATGAGATACTCAAGTTGAATATGGAGCTGTAAGGGAAGATGTCACATAAAATGGAAATGTGTAGGAAGACTCATTTTTTAATAGCAGTTTTAGTTTCTTTCAATAAAGTAACACAAAAAGTAAGATAAAGGGAGTGAAATACACTACGGTTATAAAATTTTGTGGCGTATTTAATTTTGTGGATTTTGTGGGTGCCTTCTTAACCACGAAAATTAATACTATGGAAATGCGCAGCATGTAAAATCAATAATTTAGTGCAAGTGCACGTGCAAAAACACAAAATTTAACCCCCTTGAAATTAAAGAATTAAAAGCTTTTCACTAAAACATAAAAATTTATATCCTCAAAATTTGCTACCCGTACGGTATTTGTAGTATTATATTGTATTAGCACTTTATGAAAATTGCTATAGAAATGTTTTTAGTGGACTCACTAAGTAGTCGAGTATTATAGGTACTTTGCTTGTCTGCCACCATAAATTTTTAAATTGCCAATAAAGTCACCCATCTATTAATAATTGGCAGTTTTACATCATTAAGAATCGAGTTAAGGATCTTAGCTACTTGCATTTTTAATGCACAATTTTTTGTTTGCTATCTTATGCAAGTAAATCAATTTTTCAGAAGAGCAAAACTTATTTCCAAACTCTTAGGTCAAGCTGTCTATGTAAGATAATATAATGAATGCATTAACTATATTCATGAAGTGCAAGTCACAATGACCACATACACTTTTATGTGGTACATCAATCATATCAAAGAGGACAACCCATGATGATATGATGACATTTAATCAGTATAAAACGATAAAGTAGTTTAAGTAGCATTATTCTTGCATCTTTTGTGGAAATATATTAAGCTAAAATTTTTGGAAGGGATTACAGTCCCTAGGACTTGTGTCCCAAACTACCTTTAACTGATACATTTTTAAAATTTGAATTCTTCTCTGCAAAATAAAAGTTTACTAAACTCTAAATCACTGACACTCTGCCTATAACAAAATCATTTTATATTTTGACAAAAAATCATGGGCTATGAAATTAAAAAGTCAAACTTTTTACCTAGCATAAGGACATCAATATGTAGTCTTGGGGCCAGGCAAGGTTGAAGGATCTGGCCCTGAGACTAATCAATATGTATCAGAAAATGTGATAAAAATTGCATGGGGTGGTTTGGAGCAATTTGTTACTTTTAAAAATGGCTGTAATGCTCGATCAATTAGACTTTATGTATAATTATTAACCATAGTGTATTATTAATCATTTATTATTATTAATTTTATTATAGGTTGTGAACCTGAATTATCACCTAAAGGACTGATCTCTCATTTATGTTACTGGAGAGCTACGTCAGCCTCAAGAGGCAGTTCGTAGGTACCAGCAACAAGCACTTACTGATGATCACTGGGTTATTGATAAAGATGAGGTGACTTTGACAAAAGAGGAGTTAGGAAGAGGATCTTGAGCTGTCGTTACAATTGGTATTTTTAGAAGTTTAAGAGTAGCTGTCAAGTTACATCATACTGTCATCATCTCAGATTTTAACCTAGCTCTCTTCTCTAGGGAAATTAGTACAGTATAGCATCACGAGTACGTCATCCTAACCTGGTCCAGTTTATTGGTGCAACTGAAGTGGGTAATCCTCTCATCTTGACTGAGCTGATGAGCACTAGTCTTAATCAGGAGCTTTACAGAACTGATAAACCAATCAACAGATTCTGAGTATTGCTCAAGATGTAGCTTTAGGCCTCAGCCTATTATTCACAGAATGTGAGCAGTCCTAACGTATTATTAAAGCCTTGCACTGGACCTGCTGGTTATGAAGCTAAAGTAGCAGATTATGGTACAGCTAAGTTAGTTCAAGTTGACAGTATTGGTACTGTTATGCCAGGCAATGTCGCATATCCAGCACCAGAAGCTCGTGATCCTGATCAACACAGTCCAGCAATGTTACTCTGTACTTTATTATGGAAATAATGTTGTACTCTTCCCCCAGAAATGACGACAGCATGAGAGAGATGTACAATCTGGTAGTGTCTCCTGGTCTGATATGAAGTCTCTCATACAAAGAGGACTTAATGCTAATCCTAGAGCTCGTCCTACTATGGCTCAAGTAATAGAGTCATTGAAAAGTATGGAGATTTGAATAATTGTTTGTATTTTTGATATTCTAATTATTACTGCTACCTTTTAATTAGTTTTCTATTATTGTAGTACTGATATTTTGTGTATCTCTTTATGCTATTATAACGACATGACATGGATGATTCTTCTGTCTTCTCTCATTTTTGTTTGTTTTTGGTTTTTGTTTTTTTTATAAAAATTTAATACTTTTAGTTTAAACGCAAAATTGCAGCAGAATGTAAAAACTTCAATTCATGATTCAATTTTGATTGGAATCAGCTCAAACATTTTACACAACATACGAGTACATGTATATGCATGTTTGTATGTCTAGAATCACTCATTAGTGCTAGTATTTCTGTTTGTCCCTGTATCCTGTACTATGCTGTTAATTTCACCTTTCAATATACCATTTGTAAAGGAAGTGCTAGCTAGAACTGTCAGTTCTTGTATTGTTAATTCTCTAGTTTGAGACTTCAGTAATTATTGTGCTGCTTGACATTTCAAACTACAACAGAAACATTTGATTTGCATAGTTATTGTCAGCCTCATATGTTAATGTCATAGTAATATCATTATTCATCAGTGTATTCCATTCCATGCATTTATATGCAGTGTATATGTGTAGCTATGACAGCTGCTTGGATGTAAATCACTATCATTATTCTTTAAAAATTTAAAATATTTTTTTAAGTGGCAAAATTAAAGAATGTCTAAAAGAGTAAAATAAGAGTAAGTGTCTATATTTGTGTCTTTATAAATTTCTTGCTTCTTTAGTATCACATCACTCGTCATTTCCTCTTTATTTCAGCGTGAACCTATCAATGGTAATATTAAGATTTGCTATGAGTAATACTGTTAGTATAATAGTCTTGTTATTCTTCTTCTTGTATGTAGTGCTCTTAGCATCACTAGCAGTAGTAGCCACTAGTGATCCCAGGCAGCGCCACGTGGAGGCGGCACTACATTGCTGCCCAACCTGTAATGATAGTTAACAATATATATTGACACTAACTGAATGGACTTCAACCTTTAACAGGGACTTGATAAACAAAGAGAAAAATTAATACATGACACTATTAATGCTGTACTGTAAGATCTCGAGTCTTTCAAACAGGAACTTGTTCTTCAATTTTTAACAGGAACTTGATCTTCAATTTTTAACAGGAACTTGATAAACAAAGAGAAAGATTAATACATGACACTATTGATGCTATACTGTAAGATCTTGAGTCTTTCAAACAGGAGCTTGTTTTTCAATTTTTAACAGGGACTTGATAAACAAAGAGAAAGATTAATACATGACACTATTAATGCTGTACTGTACGATCTTGAGTCTTTTAAACAGGAATTTGGTATGAAAGTCTTAACAAAGAAAGATTGATGCATGACACTATTCAGTGATATACTGTAACATGATTTTGAGTCTTTCAAACAGGAGCTTGTTTTTCAATTTTCAAAAGTATTTACCTTCACACATCTTTCAAGCAGGGCTTGGTAGTCTTGGTGTTCATTTTAAAAATATATCTATCTTAACAAAGAGAAAGGTTAATACATGGCAACATTGATACTATACTGTAACATCTTGAGTCTTTCAAACAGGGACTTGGTGTTTCATTTTTAAAAGATATTTACCTTAACAGTACACTGTAAAATCTTTAATCTTCAAACAGGAACTTGGTAGTCTTGGTGTCCATTCTTGAAATACATAATACAAGTCATTATTCATACCATATTTCATCTTTCATGCAGAACATGGCGTTCGCTTTGAAAATGTATCTTGGTAAAGGAACGGTAATATACATTATTGAATTTAAACGATACTTACAAATTTGATCGTTAGTCTTTCAAAAATGATTCCATAATTTAATAATCTAACAAAGAAAGGTCAATACAAGGAATACATTGACACTATGCCTTGTATCTTTTCATTGTAGTCTTTAAATGCCTAGTGAGAAATGTAAATATGTCACTATGACAGTATTAATGGATACAAATCTTAATATCTTTATCCTTTACATTGCATGTATCTAACAAGAAATATAAAGAGCTACATCATACATTATTGATATGTAACTCTTTCATATTGAATATCCTTTTTATTAGTCTTTAAAATAGTAGCTGTAATATGTCTAGAAAGAGCTTTTAGATTATTGCATTGTACATGTACATGTTGAGAAAATACTTGAACAGTGAGACATCCCACACAGACAATGTGGACAGGAGCTTGTTGACCAGTTGATGGTACTAAAATTACTTGTGTTTCCTATACCATTAACCTTCAATATCTTACTATAGACCTTCTGCAATTACGTTATTTACGGCAGCGCGTCATAGCAACCGTCGTTAGGCAGCCATCTTGAGTGTCAAATTGAGTGTCCCACGCGCCTATAAGGCATGGCTGAACACCCGCAAATATTCTCCAGCTATTATTCTAGCCTAGATGAAGCTGCCAAAGCTCGGTATAGAGAGAAGCTGCAGATGCTAGGAGGTATGAAGGACCCATACATTTACTGGCAGGTGGAAGCTGAGCTCAACAGCGCTCAGAAAGTCGAGTGGTATGGC